ACCAAAGAAAAGTCTTACGTTTACTAGGATGTATCACAGAGTGCAATCGGGGTGATAAACAGCCCTAGTCAAACACCTGGCCAGGTCCCTGCTACAACACCACGCATTTTTGCTTTTATAGCTACTATTATTCCGTAGTAGAGATTTCATTGTAATTACTGCTGACTTCTTTATTATGTCTTTTATCTTTTAATTCCTTCAAGTATGCCATCAAAAATGTCTTAAAGACACTGAAAGGTTAGAAAGGTAGTGCCCACAAGTGCCACTGCCCTGCCTGCCAGAACCAACCTGAAAACTGCGGTGGGCATTGTTAGAATTACAGCTTCCGGATGTATATGTGAGTGGGGCACGTAAATACTTGAGCTTCTATGGCCTTAACAGTCTCTCAACCGGGCACTTTGAAGCCGAGGTTTGCTAAGTTCTCCACTTTATAGCCTCGCATCTGCCTGTGGGCTCGTGCACTCATGACAGAACCTCTGTTAAGTGTGGGTATCGTTTACCCTGTAGCTGCGTCATGCTGGCAAGCAGTGCCTTTTTTAAATGCAAAGGGCAAATGCAGAGAAGCCACATTTTTGTCTAGAATGTGAGGACAGCGATGAAGTGGCCATCATAATCCTAGAAGATGTGTTGTTGCGTGTTCATCTCCAATGCCACCTCGGTCTGAGAGCCTGTGCCTGCTTGTCTTCCACTGCGGGCCAGGGCGTAAACTGACGTCCTCAGAGCCTGGAGAAAGCGCTTCTTTCCGCGTGTTCCCTGTCGTTTTGCTCTCCATGGCGTAGTTTGCCCAGAACCAGTCAGAGTTGACTTTGAGAACTAGTCACTGTGCGTCAGAAGTTGTCTTCTGTTTCTGTCCACTTAACACAAAATATACAGAAATCTGTTCTTTGCTCATTTTTCAAATACCTAATACTTTATTATGATTCTGAAGGAACCAGAAGGTGGAAAAGGACTTAACTGTGTGCCTTCGCAATCTAATCTGACAGCCTCTCAGGCGTTTAGAAACTGCCGAAGTTCTACTTCGTCATAAATGTGTGTGACACATGAGAATCTTTAATGTAGGCAAAGAAACTTAAATATCACCAAGGGAACGAGATCCTTAATAACCAAAATTGTCTTCATTGTTCAACATGCCCAAAAGAGAATGTTCCTTGTAAATGTTAATGTGTAACTAGGCCAGTCTCATTCTCTGTTGTTGCCAGTAATGCTGTGAAGGGTCGATATTTAGAGGTTTGACTGCCCCGTCCACAATCCTCCATGCCTACCCAATCTTATTTACACTGGAAGTTTTATGACTGGAGTGTTCTTGGATGAGTGCTCTTACATGTTTCCAGGACTTTTCGATTGAATTCGACTAAGAATAGGGCAGTGTGGGTTAAGGCTTTTTGTCTTTTGTGCCTTACCATCCAAAGTTAAAATAGCTTCAGAAAGGTTTGGAATAGTTTTGCATTTGGGATTATAACTGTCTGCTTCCCAAAAAGACTCTGTCACCATGATATGTTGTCCAGCATTTTAACATTTAATCTAGATTTCTTTTAAAACATCAAACTATAAAGCACAACCAACAGAAAATTCTAGGATGATAACAAGTTTATGACATACTTCTTGAGACTAAAAGGCAATTTGGACTAAAATCTTCTTAAAAAGCACATAATATGGGGGCCAGCCCCATGGCGCAGTGGTTAAGTGTGCACATTCCGCTTCGGCAGCCTGGGGTTCGCCGGTTCAGATCCTGGGTGCAGACGTGGCACCGCTTGTCAAGCCATGCTGTGGTAGGCATCCCACATATAAAGTAGAGGAAGATGGGCACGGATGTTAGCTCGGGGCCAGTCTTCCTCAGCAAAAAGAGGAGGATTGGCAGCAGATGTTAGCTCAGGGCCAATCTTCCTGGAAAAAAAAAAAGCACATAATAAATTGCTGATACTGAGCCCAGAAAATCATCTGGAAGCTCATCCATGATTTTGGATATAGATATTAGATATTGGGTATTGGGTACAGATGCATACTTTTTTTAAACCAAATATTTATAGAATTTATCTTGTAAAATAAGTAATTTTATTTCTAGAGTCACTAATTTTTTAAGATGTAGGTGAACAAATTGTATGTAGGAGGCACTCAAATGTGACTTTACATTGTAAAGCTTCACACAGTCTAAGCATTGTCTTTTATCTTTTATTTCTGACTTTTGAGGGACAGGATCTGATTGGCTCCGCCTGCATCAGCTGTCCCCCGCCCTCCTCCCCCCCACCATCCTGTCAGTCATGCCTGCGGCAGGGTCATCTGATGCAAACGTGCCGGCTAGACCCACTCCTTCCTCAGGGGCAGTAGCGGAGGCCCCTTCACACAAGGAAGCAGGGCACAGGCAGGCACCCAGACATGGCTGCTGCAGCCTTGGCTTGGGATAGGTTTGTATCGCTTTGCTGCTGTGAAAGTACTAGAAATGAAAAATGTTCACAGTTGATAAGGTCTCTCTGATAAACACAGAAACTCTGTCTGGCGACTGATCCAGACTGGCAGATGCAGACCCATTTGCTGAGCAGGTTTGAGTTGTTAGGTTCTTAAGTTTGTAGGATCAACAATTTTCATTTTAAGATATGTCCTCACTGAAGATACAAGTCCTATCAGTAATCAGAGCTGAGGACAAGTCATTACTGTTCATGAAACTGCAAGTGAGAATACTGAATAATTGTAAACATTTGACAAATTGTGCTGATGAACTTCAAGGGTGATCTCCCCATGATCATTAATTCTCTGAACATTATAGAAGACGCTAACTGAACAATGTACACTGGGATGCTAGTGTTTGTTCTATCTGTCTCTTCATTTTTCAGAATTTTTTATGGTCCTTTCCCTCATTATTAATGCCAGATGCTTGTCCTTAAAGAAAAAGTGATGAAGCAGCAGCTGACTTAAATTTTCGAATTCAGATGTCAATCACCACCATCCTTAGTGAAAGTAGGAGTCTCAAATTTCTCCTCTCCATTAATGAGAGAGAAAGATGGACAGAGAGAGAAACAGAAAGAGAGAAGTAGTATTCTAAAGCTGAACCTGCAAATTAGGGCAATTGAGAATCTGTCATGTCAATAAATAATTATAATTTTCCCTCTTCTGCAGTAATGACTGATGAGTTTTTGGGGGAATACTAGTTGTTCATGGCATAACCTTTTAAAACTCTATGACTTTTCCATTTTTTAAAGAACGGATCTAAAATGGAAGTTTAGAGGAAAATGCCTCTTTTGAACACAAACGTCCCTTGGTGGTCATCATCAGGATTGTTAAGGAAGGGAAGAGAGATTGTCTAGACTTCTCATAGTCTTTGCATTCACTCCGCTTGCGGCCTTTCTCCATATTGTTGCCAAAGTGCAAATGTGATCCGTTACATCTCTGCTTAAAATGCTTTCTGAGTTTCATTGCTCTGGGATAAGGACCACTGTTATCAACACGAGCCGCAAGTCTGGCCTCTCATCCGTTTCCAGGATCATCTTATCTCTTTGCTCTCTGAATTCTGCTAGCTCTGGCCTCCTTGCTTCTTCTTAGCCATGTGCTGCCCACTATCAGCCTAACATTTCTGCCTGAAACTTTTTTCTCTTCCACCACCCTGTCCCACCTTCATTCCATCCCTTTGCCTAGTTAATTTTTATTAATTCTTCAAAATTTAACTTAGCCATTACTTACTTTCTCAGTGAAAACCTTCCCTGTTCTCCCCAAGTTGATCTATCCTATCAAAGCATCATATGCATCTCTTTCAGAGCAGTTTTCACAGTTATTTTATGTTTATCTAAAGAGTTATTTGATTAATAATATTTAAGAATGCCTTCCTCTATAGACTATATGAAGAATCATCTTTTTAATTGTACTTTTTAATTACTTTGGGGGGGCATATATTTTTTCTTTAAAATCTTATGTGGTTTTAAATATTTTAAGCTAATACATGCTTTCAATTCAAAATTAAGAGTAATTGTCAATGAAACCATCAGAACCCTTCTAAAGTGCAAATATAATAAAATGTCACCCCCTTTGGAGAACATGAACTTGGAAAGAATGGAAATGTGAGTTCAGTTTACTTGAGAAATAGACCAACAACAGAAATGCTTCCAACCAGTGCTGATGACCTCTAGCAGTTCTAAACAGAGTCCCATTTCACAGTAGCCTGCCCAAAGTAGATAGGCTTTGCAGTATCAAGTTAGATCTGAGAATATCCGCTTGGCTGTATTACCTTAAGAGCTGTAAAGTAATCGTCACAGGCATGATGAACTGAGAGGCATGAACGTTGTGCAACTATCTGACTGCCACTGATGTTCTGCATCCTGACCACTTTCCCAATACTTCCTTTGATCAGGAAAGTCTTTTTGTGTCTTTGGATAGTCTTCTTCATTTCTCTTTTCCGTTCCATTTTCACGTTTAACTTTTTTTTCCTTAGAGGTGCCTTACTTCTTTTAGATAAAATATGTGAGCTTGGAAAATGTTTAGAACTGTCAAAAGTTCAGGAAAAACAGGAGTAAAACCAATGAATCACTGAGGTAGTCATTAGTAAAAGTTTATTGTTCACTCACCAAAAAGACAGTTTACAAACCAGGAGCACTGACGCGAGAACATGGCAGTTCAGAGGGACACTGTCATAACGCAGCTCCCGGGTGGAGGAAGTGGCTGTGTTTTTTCAGTGATTAGTAACAGTATTAGAATTTTCTCAAATGAAAGAGAATTGGATAGTTACTTCGTATCAGTTTGGGGAACGATTTAAGTTTCACTTAGGATTTTTAGAGGCATAAGCAAGAAGTGACCCAGGTCAAACTAGCCTCACATATCTTGCAAAATAAGCTAAATTAAGCTTTAGTCGTATGACTAAACTGGTTTTGTTTGCTCAGGGAATTTTCAGGCCTGGTCTCCGTTTGTTTTTGATTTTAATAGTACCGTCTTCTGGGAATCAGTGACCTCTCTGTGAGTTTGTCTCACGCACTCAAGTCTGCGCACAAATGCGTGTTTTCCTTAACTGTCCCCCTCAGTTTCGTTCGGGGCCACATTTCAGGCAGCATCAACATCCCGTTCAGCGCTGCTTTCACGGCAGAAGGGGGGCTTGCCCAGGGTCCGCACACCGCCATGCTGCAGAGCTTCAAGGGGAAGGTCGTCGTCATCGTGGGGCACGTGGCAAAGCACACAGCAGAGGTACGTGTGCTCAGGACGTCCTGTGCACGTGACGATGAGTTGTTTACCTGCCTGCTATCACAGACTATCTAAAGTAGATTTCTTTGGGAATTGGTCACAAATCAAACAAGCTTTCCAGATGTGTCTATATTACATAGAAGAGTTGGTCCACCTTTTCCCAATGAAAGAATTCAACCTTTTTTCATCAGTGTACAGCATCAGGATCAATAGTAAGCTTAGAAAAATCCAGTGATAGCCTAAGGTGGTGTTTTTAACTGCTTTCTGAAGTTATGAAGAAGTAGCTTCACTTCCTTCCCATGGAAAAGAACACTTAGGCTTGATCGGAGGCTCTGAAAGATGGTCACGATGGGCGTTGTTGGATGTGGGAGTTTTGCTTACTCTGGGACCAAAGCTTTTTGATGATAGAGAATTCAGGAAGGTTATCAACTTTCAGATATGAGGGGTATATGAAACAAAATGGCTTCCCTATCCCCCGGCTATGTTCTAAGCAGATTGAAAAATAAAGAGTAGCAGATGGAGGTCAAAAATACCACCTTTAGTTTTTACAAAAGACAAGTTGGAGAAGATGGTTTCATATGAGTGTGCACTGGGCTTGCTCACGAATCCCCCAGAATTAGAGAACAAATCTAGATGTGGGCAGCGCTGAGCCAGGACGGGGAGGAAGAATCTGCTCCGGGGAACGTAGCAGAGGTGGCCTGCTCCCTGCGGGCCGCTTGTTCCCAAGAAGAAGAAGGGCAGGACTGAGCCTTCACAGTTTACCAAGTACATCCCCCGCTTCCCAGGGCAGAGTGAATAGAGGGACGGAAAGTCAGGACTGTACTTGGAAAATTTCCTCCTCAAAGAAATCGGCAGTGGAAATAAGTATTCTCCTCTAATATGTGCATTCCTCATGTCTGTATAAACTGGATAATCCCAAAATGTAATCACTAGAAATGCACTCACCTGAGACGTTGAGGGCTTTTAGCCACAGGCCACTGTCAGCATCCAGTAATGCTTGTCTCGGAGGGGCAGGGCTGGTGGTCGCACTGGCTCCTGATCCTAAAGGAAGGTTGTCAGTGGTGATGGAGCTGACTGACCACACTGAGGAAGTCTCTGAGAGGTATTAGTTATAAGTCATAAATCACTCACTCCTCCCTTATAAAACTATGTCCAGCAGCTAAATACACCTGTTTCAGGGAAAGCCAATATATAAATGACTAATGCACAATTTTTAGGAAATGAGAACATTTTAGAACTAAAGCTGTAGTATCTAAATTATGTTGATGTAAGCTGTTAAATTAATAATTATTATTATTTTACTACTACCAAATACTGCTGCTGCTACATTAATCTGTATTGCCATATCATTCCAATCTCAATTACAATACATATCAATACATTCAACCCACAGAAATACTATTGAAAATCACATATTCTGGGTTCCAAGTCATATACAGCCTTAGGAAGAAATCTTACAATGATAATAATCCCAATTATTGCTGATCTTTGTGGTCTAGGCACTTTACATACATTATTTTATTCTTCATAACAATTCTATGAGGAAGGCATTATTCTACGCATTTTACATATGAGAAAAACTTAGACTCAGAGTTTATCTGATTTGCCTGTGTCAGAGCCTGGACTGAAACACGAGTCTAAGTGACTCTACAGGCCACACCCTTAACCCAGTGACCTCTCAAGGCTTGTGAGTCTGAATGCTGCCATTTGTCCTGTTTTTTTAAAATAGGCTTATTCTGACTTTTCACAGATCACCATAGTTCTTCCTGGTGTATGAAACTAAGACCTGAAATAAACTTTCTTCCTCTAAGTGCTATGAAGCTTAAGCCTCTATTTTCATAAAGCATTCACCATTTGAAAGATGGTATCTAGTAAGTAGACCGTGTATGATTTAATCTTGTTAAATATCCCAAATGTTTCCAAACATTCTGCTTATTGTATTAATCTCCAGACTTATATTTATTCTAATTTTACCATAAAGGTCAAAATATATGTATAAATAGGTAGATAACTTATTTATTTCGTTAAATAACCAATTATAAAGCGTTTGTCATCTGTTATATGCAAGACACTGTGTAAAATGCTATAGTCTATCACAGTGTGAATAAATTTAAAAGTTCAAAATATGAAGGAAATCTGGAGGCATAACCATTCAGATGAAATAATAACATATAATAATAGTGATAAATAAAGGGCCATCACATTCTGAATAAATTAGTCAGCATCTTGCTTATCAAAAACCAGATGCTATCATGAACTGTTCCTTCTCCAAACTCCCATGATCATTCGTACTTGTGGGCAACAGTGACTGAACAAGTTGTATCCTCAGCCATTAATGCTTCAGTCTGTATCAGGAAATAATTTTTGAGAAACGGTTTTAAATATTTCTGTAGAGATGTCTCTTTACCTCTCATCATGAGGCTAAAGAGAACTTTGAATATTTATTTGCTTGTACTGTTGCATCATCTTTTTGTCTGCTGTATAAACCTGGATGGCTTTACTAATGCCTCCCTCCCTCTAACTTGGAAGCTTCTCAATTTAAAGCGTATTTCCTGCGATTCTACTATGTATCCATGGTTGTGCTGGATCTCTTCCATTCACCCCACCTCCCTCCAGATCCATCCTCCACACTTCTTCACCCTGCTCTCTGCCCCAGGAGGCTGACTTCCACGTCTTCTGGCTTCCACTTGGGGAGCTGGTGGGGAACTCTGAGAAGTTACGGGAGGGAGGGAGGTCAGGATATTATCTCCCTGGATTCCGCCCTCAGAAACTGTCTCAGGGTGGCCGTGTCCCTCTATGAAGGGTGACCTTTCTGTCTAGGAAGCTTCTCTGCACTCCTCTCTTTCCAGTCCCGTCCCTCTGGCGCCAGGGCCAAAACAGCTTTGCTTTTAATTCATACGCCAGGGTTACTGCACTATCCCCTACAGTTCTTTACATCCCACCCACACCTTTCTGGTTAACCTCCTTATAAGTAAACCCTTCTCAGTTATCCTAAAGGCTTCTTGGAACCCTGACTGTTACAAGGATACTATTTAAATGCACAGTTTTTCAGAAAGCCTAGGTTAGCTTCTCTGTTCTATTTCTTCCTAGCTGTTAATTTGGGCAAGTTATTTAATCTCTCTAAGTAACAGTTTGTTCATTTATAAAATGGGGAACATAATACCTACCTCATGGCATTGTTGTGAAGATTTCAGATAAGGCATATCAAGTTCAGTGCAGAGCCCAATAGTAGTAAGCACTCAGTTAACTTCAGTACTGTCATTTGGATCGATGTGAATTTAATAAGCACTATTTTAGGTATGATGATAGTATAAAGATTCTAGCCTTTGGGAGAATCAGGAGAATGACAGAGCAGGCAGCTCTAACCTCCCATTCCTCCACAGAAAGCATCAACAAGTAGAAGCCGCACCATGTGGAATAGAAGTGGCAGAAGCAGGCATCCTTTTCTTCCTGACCTTAGAAGAAGCATTCAGTCTTTCACACTTGAGTATGATGTTAGCTGAACTTTGTCATGTTGAGGAAGTTCTCTTCTATTCCAAGTTTATTAAGTGTTTTTATCATGGAATGGTGATGAATTTCATCAGATGCTTTTTCTCCATAAATTGAGATGAGTATGTGGTTTTTTTCCCCTTTCTTCTATAAATGTGGTATATTATATTCATTGTTTTCATGTGTTTAACTACCCTTGCATTCTTAGCACAAATTCCAATTAGTCATGGTGTTTAGTCCTTTTGATATGCTCCTGAATTCAGTTTGCTAGTATTTTGTTGAGGACTTTTGCATCAGTATTCATCAGGGGTATTTGTGTGTAGTTTTCTTTCCTTGCAGTGTCTTCATCTGGCTCTGGTATAAGAGCAATGCTGGCCTCATAGCATGAGTTAGGAAGTGCTCCCGCCTCTCAGTTTTTTGGAGGAGTTTGAGAAGAATTGTTGTTGTTCTAGCCAGAGCAATTAGGCAAGAAAAAGGAATAAAAGGTATCAAAATTGGAACATATGATAATTTCCTAGGGCTGCTGTGAAAAAGCAACACAAACTGAGTGGCTTAAAACAATGGAAATTTATTCTCTCATGGTCCTGGAGGCTGGAAGTCTGAGATCAATGCATCAGTAGGCCGCTCTCTCTGAGACACTGCTGGAATCTTTCCTTGCCTTTTCCCGGCTTCTGGAGGGGCCCACAGTCCTTGCCACAAAATGGGAGAATATTCTTATAAGTTATGTACCTGATAAGGATTTAATATCAGAAGACAAAATCAACACACAAAAGTCAGTTATATTTCTGTTCGCTAACTCCCACAACTCAACAACAGAAAGACAACCAAATGTAAAAATGGGCAAATTTTTAGACATTTTAGACATTTCTCTGAAGAAGATATACAAATGGCCAAAAAGCACATGAAAAGATACTTGACATCATTAGTCATTAGGGAAATGCAAATCAAAACCACAATGAGATACCACTTCACACCGAAGTGTTGGCAAGGATGTGGAGAAATTGGAACCTTGGTGCATGGTTAGGGGGATTGTAAAATGATGCAACTTCTGTAGAAATCAGTTTAACAGTTTGTCAATTCCTTCAAAATGTAAACATCAGATTTCCATATGATCAGCAATTCCACTCCTAGGAAGCTTCTCTGCACTCCTCTCTTTCCAGTCCTGTCCCTCTGGCGCCAAGGCTGAAACAGCTCTGCTTTTTGATTCATACACCAGGGTTACTGCACTATCCCCTACAGTTGCTTACATCCCACCCATACCCACAGTTCAGCCATAAAAAGGAATGAAGTTCTGATGCATGCTGCAACATCGAGGAACTCGAAAACATTATGCTGAATTGAAATAAGCCAAACACAAAAGAAGAGATATTCTATGATTCCACTTACATAAAATATCTAGAATAGGCAAATTCACAGAGCTAGAAAGTAAACTAATGCTACTAGGGGCTAGGGAGGGGGCAATGGGAGTTTTTGCTTAATGGGTACAAAGTTTCTATTTGGGATGATAAAAAAATTTGGAGATAACTAGTGGTGATGGTTGTACAACATTGTGAATATACTTAATGCCACTGAATTGTCCACAAAAAAATAGTTAAAAGGGCAAATTTTTTTTTTTTTTTGAGGAAGATTAGCCCTGAGCTAACTGCTGCCAATCCTCCTCTTTTTGCTGAGGAAGACTGGCCCTGAGCGAACATCTGTGCTCATCTTCCTCCACTTTATATGTGGGACACCTACCACAGCGTGGCGTGCCAAGCGGTGCGATGTCCACACCCGGGATCTGAACCAGCGAACCCGGGGCCGCCAAAGCGGAACATGCACACTTAACCTCTGTGCCACCAGGCCGGCCCTGCAAATTTTATGTTATATATTTTACCTCAATTTTTAAAAAGTTGTAGGGTTTGATGTGTTCAGGCTACCACACTGTCCCCAGTTCTCTGAGCCCTACGATTTTTGGTCAAACAGTGATAGAGAATCTTTCATGAGAGCTGTTCTGATCAGGTCTCATCTTTTTCTTCTGCAGGTATTAAAAACAAACAACAATAACAAAAAGCAGTGATTTTTAAGCCATAGTAGCTCTTCTTATAAGTTTAAATCAGTGTCCTGCAGCTGACAGAGTCCTGTTTTGAAAAGATTGAGAAGGCCACAATTGAATGCTGTGGAAAGAAAGCAGAGGTGAAAGTCCAGTCAACGTAGTTACAAATTATCTTTGCAAACGTTTATGATTTTTATGTCAAACCCATATTTGGACTTGGGAATTTTTTGTTTGCAAAACAGTGGGCACTGATTGTAATTTTTCTCGTTTTATGACCTGGGTAAAAGAACTAGACAGAAAATCCAACAAGTGAAAATAATAAATGAAATACAGCATGGCTCAATAAAAGAAAAAGGCTCTCAATATTGAGTTTAACAAGTAGCAAAATATCATTGAACAACTGCAAGAAAGAATAAGGAACCACTTGTCTGCTGTACGACAGGATTAAAATGACTCGTTTGACATTCAAATTAGGACCAGAACGTCTTTTGTAATACAAATATGAAGCAATTACTCTACTATGACCAAATGTATTGACTCTATTGTCTAAAATCACATAGGAGAAGACCACACAAATCAGAAATATTGCTTATTCTTGTACCTGAATAACTATGATCAAAAGATATACAATACCATTTCAGTTATTTATTCATTAACTATTTCCTGTAATTACAATTGATTAGCAATTAATTGCTATGAGATGGTTTTTATACAATTACCACTTTATAGAGCTTTTGTATTTGGCCTAGCTTCCACATTACCTACATCAGAATACCTTTAGAATCTGCTGCCATTTCTTATCTAGATAAAACATTGCTTTTCCCCAGAATAGAGCAAAAAAAACAAGGACTAAAAAAGATCTTAGTTTAATTAGGGTCCCACGTAGAGGCCTCTGTACCAGAATTAAGTCCTACTGAATCTCGCATGTCGGTCACTCTTTAGCTCACCTTACCCTGCAGGTTAAACAGAGCAGTGAGCTATTGTATAACCAAGGAGATCCAGAGAGTCTGTGAACAAAGCTGTGTCAGCCTCACGGAAAGCCCCATTGTCTTAAGGGAGTGGAGCAGAGTCCCAAGTCTCCGAAATGTGGCTGCCTCCTCCAGGGGTGGGTCAGGTTTGTGCTGATCCTTGCTGCCGTGTGTGAGTGTAATTTGACAAGCCAAACGAATAGTGACTGCATCTGTGGGTAGGATTTAAGGGAAAGGGAAAACTTCTGTATCAAACAGGGGTGAAGTCAGTTCAGGCTTTGTGTCACATTTAAATGAAAACATGGCAAGGTCTCACTCTTGTCTCCTTGCAGAGATAATCATCTTATTAAAACTCACAGGAAAAACTGCAGCTTTGATTGCTATGCTGGAATTCGATTCCCTGGGCATAGAAGAAATACAGGCCAGCATGATACATACAGGAAGCCCCATAAAAGATACCTCTCACACCACTGAAACGTGCTGACTTCATCTCAGAGAGTAAGGGTGTAAATCCCAGGATTAAGGCAATAGCTATTCAGATCAATACGGGAAGGCAGAGAGAGTCTACCATCCCTGTCATGGCTTAAATGAACCACAAGGAGGAACATTGTTACATCCTGAGCAGATTACGCAGATTCAAAGGAGATTTTGGTTTTAACATTAATCAAATATTATCTAGGGGAAAGGCACAGTTTGTTTGGTACTCGAGGCAACCATTCCTCGCACTGCCTGCTCCCGGCCTAGGGTCAAGGCCTCAGAAATCTCAGCTGGACCGGACGCCATCGTGAATCCAGCTCTGTCCTAGAAGCAGATTATCTTGTTGAGCAGGAGTGATGACTTAGCACAACAGCGTGCTTTAATGTGTCATTGGGTTATTTTTTTCTCCTTTGTGGGAAAATAATTTAGTGGATCCAGCTCTAGAGCTAGTGATGGGTCTCAGAGTGGAAGATGGCCAGCAACATGGACCAGAAAACAGTGAAACTCCAGTTGGTGTTTCTCTACCTTTAGTGAGTTCTTAAGAAAACTGTAAACATCATATTGCTGTTAGTCACTAACCTCATAAGACTCTAAAATAATTAGTCTGTCTAGATTATATTTTGTGGTATGAGACCACCAAGATTTCATCCCTGCCAGTGTATCCCATTCAAAAGTTCATCTAGGGAGGAAATTGAAGGAATCTTTGCATTTCACTTTGTCTGTCAACCCTTTGGAAAATGTTAGAAACAGCTCATCTTACCCTTAAAATGTTATATTCTTGGCATGAAATCAGTGTTTTTCTTTTGTCATCAAAAGAAATATTCATCTGAGAACCTAAGAGCCAGTTGCAGTAATAAGCTATGTGTGCTATGATTCTTTGCTTTAAAACAAAACAAAGCAAAACCAAAAAGAGAAAAGAGCAAAACAATATGCATTTCTGAATAACATTTGATTCAGAAACCTAGACAAGAGACAATTTTTCTGGAGGTTTTGTGACTAAACAATGAGAGGCCGATGCTTTCTACACATAGCATATAAAGATTAAATTGAACACGGGACATCTGTTTTCAACTGAAAATAATCTGATTTATAATAAGCAAAGCATGCCATTGCATCTATTTTTAAAAATAAGATAATAGTCCAATTGTGTTTGTTGACACTCCCCTGGAGGCCAAGGTTATTTGGTCTTCGGGTATTAGGTTGGAAGTTAATTTGTTCTGTGATAACATCAGGCTTCTACCCTCCTGTCCCACCCCATTCCTTCCTGGGTCCCTTAACCAAGCTACACCAGGCTTTAGGATACTGTGATGGTCACTGCACCCACACTTTTTGCCAGTCCCTCTTTCTCACTCTAGCCCTGTCTCCATCCTCTCTGGGCTCAAGCTCTT